AAAAAAAAAAAAAAAAAAAAAAAAATCGAAAAAAACCTATGTTATGCAGAAAAATAAACTGAACAACTTTTGCCTCAGGGTCACATCGAAATTCTTCACCAAAATTAAAATAAAAATTAAAAATTAAAAGTAATTTTTTTATTTTTATTTTTTTGGCCCGGCCGGGCAAGTGACCCCGGGCCACTCTGGTAGCCTAGTCAAAATGTGAATTCTGTAATGGAAAAGTACTGATACTGTGGATTGTAATTTTGCGTTGAGTCTAATTATAGCCTGGGCTATCTAGGGTTAGTCGCAACTACAATTCTGGTCGTCAGAATTCAATTCTATCAGTCTGTAGTGAATCTCAATTTTGTTGTTGTCATCTGTACAAAAGCGCTTGACCAGATGATCAGTATTTGAGTAATTCCAGTGAATACTGTAAATCGCCATACCTCTAGGTATGGCTGTTAGAGTCAACAGTGGCGAAATTTAGTCTGCGGTAGGATTGAAGGTTACTGACTACATCGTTACCCCTTGTTGGTCTGGGATTGTCTGTACTTACCACTCTTTCTCTTTCCCACTGTATTCTCTTGTTTTCTAGTGGGCTTTGGAATTCTAGGATATCTCTGGGATCACTGGAATAGTTTGTACTAATTCCAGTTAAGGTGCAGGGTCAATAAAAGGAAATCGTGTGACTGATTTTATTGGACTGTCTGTCTATCTGACCGCTGACCACCAGAGACACGGTTCCAACCCCAATCGTCTATTGCCCATTCACCCACCTACCTCTGTGAAAGAGATAGCAGCGATTTCTGAGTGTCTGAAGGAATTGTATATCGCTGCATGCTCCCCTGTTTGTCTACTAACTACTGTTAATGTGAAAGTGGAAAATGGCGAATCAGGGTGCTCAGCAGCAGCCACAGGGAGAAGTAGAAGTGAAGATGGAAGTTCCACAAACTCTTGCCTCCCCCTCTACTACACCCCTGACTGCTACTCAGCAGGAGTTGCAGGTTAGACTGCAGCAGGAGCAGGCGCTGCTTGCAGAACTTGAGAGACAGGAGGCAGCCGAGCTGGAGGCTGCAACAGATGCCTCACGTAGTGAGTACCTGTTGGAACAGCTGACCAAGGCCATGTAAGATGAGCGTTGCACTCAGGTGGCCAGGAACTTGGCGGAGTGGGTCATTTTGGAACACAAAGCCACCAGTTCCTATTTCACCAACTGGGATGATCGCATGGGCCCCCATTTTCCCAAAAATCCTTGGCACACCCCTTGTCGCACTTCCAGGCCCACATCCTACTCCGATCAGGAAGTCGCGTTGGGCGTGAGGTTGGTATCGGAGCCCGACACGTGGCCGGGTTGTAGGATTAACAACACGATAATTGAGCGATCTCGCTAACCGAGGGCGACCTCGACCCCGAAACGCGCATTGACACGACCCCGTCGTCACTAGAAGCAGATTGGCTAATCGACGGGCGGCCAACATGAACGCTAATCCACAGAATCCAAATCCGCAGCAGAACCCCAATCAGCAACAAAATCCTAACCAACCCGCACCGCGAGCACGGACTCCTATGACGCCACCAGATCTCTATCTGTCTGATCCTGCGCATCATCTTGCTGGAGCATGGTTAGCTACGTTCCGGGCGCAGCAGTATGATGACAACGAAGCTCAGGTGAACATCCCCGCTCGATTAGGAGGGGACGCTCATCATTGGTTTAGTACCTATGTATGGGTGGATCTTCCAACTTTTGAGCGAGATTTTATGAATCGGTTTGATTATATCCATCCAGAACAAGCGCTCTTTATGATTAAAGATCGGGTCCAGAAACCCCTCGAGTCTGTCACGGAATATCGAAACCGGGATTACCGAATGTTTGTGAAAACAGAGCGAGGTGAGCAAGTAGGAAGAGATTTGTTCATCGACGGACTTCGCAGCAGAACGATGACGACGAAACTTCGAAAACAGTTCTCCCCCATCAATCATACTCTGCAATAGATCATGGTCGTCCGTCTGGAGCGCAGAGTTGATGACCTGGCGGCTCAGCAGTCAAAGCTACTGGATGCGATTCAGACTCTGACTGCTCAACTGACAGCAGCCAAGCTGATTGTTCCTCAGTCCCCTGCACTCAAAGTAAAACCTTCTCCTTCTCCTTCCCCATCTCCCTTTGGTTCACGCCACTCTTCCCCTTCACCACCTCCCTCCCACAAAGCCACAGGGCGCCCAACGCTTGAATCTTCCCCTGCAGGTGATCAAAGGGGACCTAAAATCCCAGCCCCCAACAAGTTCAAAGGGGATGACCCGAAGGTCGATGTTGGGGACTGGGCTGCAGGTACCAAAGCCTACTTGAGAGGCTTCACATGTGCAGAGCAGACCAAGGTTGCAACGGTGTTGGGACTATTGGAGGGACGTGCTCTGAAGCGGGCCACCTCAACCTCCAGCAGTCTGGAGCAAAGTCTGGAGGACTGGGCTTTTGGGTTGGGGGTGGACAGACTCCTGCAGGCCTTAGAGGACTGCTTTGCAGACAAGGAGTGGGCCCGCAAAGCTGCTGACAGGATTGCTCGCCTGGGGCAGCAGCGCTACAGCAGGACACTGCAGTCCTTGTTTGCAGAGTTCGAGCAATTGACCTCTACCCCTGGGTTGGTCATGTCAACGGATGATCTGTTGACCAACTTTTGCAGGGCAGGCCTGAGAAGTTTGCAGTTGCTTTGTACAGTGCTGCACAAGGATTGGAGATCCTTTGCCCGTGCAGCCTTGGACATGGAGGCAAAACTTCATGTTCAGGCCCCTTCAATTGACAGAAGAAAAGGAGCCTTCCCTCGTGGTGGCAAAAAGGGAAAGGCTGCCTTCACTCATGTAGGATCTGGATCAGCCAGTGATTCAGACTCCCCGGTTGATGTACCGTCATCTGTTACTGAGTCAGCTGCTGATACAGATGTTGCAGCGGCCCTGACTCAGGCTGTTTTGGGAGTTCTGCAACAACAGAAACGGTTTTCCCCCGCCACGGCCTCAACCAGTTCGAAGGGGAAGGACAAGGGACGCAGTCCTTGTACCTCTACCCAGCGCCCTAACCTGGAAAAGGACGTCCGTATGCCAGCTGACCCACTCAATCCCTCCACTCTCCCCTGGCATGATCTCAAGATCCAGGAAGGAGTCTGGAGAAGAAGGAAGGATCGAGGGGTCTGCCTGCGATGTGAGGGTCAACACTTCTTGAAAGATTGCCCTTACATGCCAGGTCCGGGTCAGTCAAAAAACTGAAGCAGACCCTGGGGACTGCAGTTCCCTCCAGTGCTGCACCTTCATCCTCAGAGGAAGATGAATCTGCAACTGCTTCAGTTGAGACACCGCAGAGTGTGGGAGCTGCACGAGCAACATCCTTTTGCTATGAGGATCCTGACCTGGATCAGGAACCGGAGGAGCATGAGCTGCAGACCCTTGTTGCCTTTTTCTTTCACCTGAAAGAACAAAGGAAAGTGAAGTCTGACCTCATCCTACTTCAACCCCTGATCAACATCAGCATCAAGGGATTGTTGGATTGTGGAGCCACCAAAAACTTCATGTCCCCCAGAGCTGTCAAGAAATTGCACGTGGGCATGAAAGTTTAGCATCTGCAGCACCCGCTTCAGGTTAGGATCGGCGACTCCACTACCATCACCATCAGGAAGAAGGTCAGGGGTATCCTTGTTACCTTCGATAGTGCTGGAGAAGTCAGACAGCGTTTGAACTTCTACATATTCCCTGATCTACCCTTTGATGTGGTGTTCTCGATGCAGTGGTTGAGGGCAGTCAACCCTAGGATCGACTGGCAGATCCCTAAGGTTGAACTCCCCAATGGACAAAGGGTGTATCAGACTTGCAGGATTGCTACTGAACACCACCCAGAAACCTCTTGCTACTGTTTGAGAGCGAGAGAGTTTTATTCCCTCTCGCGCCAGTATGACCATGAGCGTCTGTTTGTAGCTCTGGTCAAACAAACAGACGTTGCACCTGTTTCCTGTCCTCCTGAGATACAGCAGGTTGTGGATCAGTATGCTGATCTGATGCAAGAGCCCTTTGGATTGCCCAACCGGCCAACCAAGCATCACATCGAGCTGCTACCTGGAGCAGTCCCTCCCAAGGGCCGCATCTACAGGATGTCCCTTGCTGAGCTTGAGGAGCTCAGAAAGCAGTTAGAGACCCTGACCAGCAAAGGCTGGATACGGCTGACCACATCCGAGTTTGGCGCACCAGTGTTCTTCGTCCCGAAAGGGAATGGAGAGTTCAGAATATGCATCGACTACAGGGGCCTCCACAAGATCACTAGGAAAAGTATAGCGCCTATTCCTAGGATCGATGACCTGCTAGATATGGTACAGGGTTGCACAGTGTTCAACAAAATTGACCTCAAATCTGGTTATTACCAGATTGAGATGGTAGAGGAGAATGTCCACAAGACCGCCTTCAAAACCAGATATGGTATTTACGAATATCTGGTTATGCCATTTGGACTTTGCGATGCCCTAGGTATCTTCAAGACTGAGATGCACTGCATCTTCAGACCTTATCTAGACAAGTTTATGGTTGTCTACCTAGATGATATTCTGGTATTCAGTCGAACTGCCAGGGAGCATACGGAGCATCTGGCTCTGGTTCTTCAGTCGTTACGTGACAGGCAGTATAAGATCAACAGAGAGAAGTCCTCTTTTGGCGTTCCCTCTGTCATCTATGTGGGTCATGTAATCTCTGGAGATGGGCTGGCCCCAGAAGCAACCAAAATTGCTGCTATTCAGAAATGGCCCAGCCACAAATAGTGAGGGATGTCAGGTCCTTTATGGGTTTGGCTTCGTACTACAGGAAGTTTGTCCGGAACTTTTCTACGGTGGCCTCACCTCTGACTAACCTAACAAAGAAAGACACTCCTTTTCTTTGGTCCCTCCCCTGCCAGTTGGCCTTCACACGACTCAAGTAGGCCTTGACTCACCGGTGCTGAAGTTGTCTGACCGCACTTTGCCATTTATCATGACTATTGACGCCAGTGAGTATGGCATTGGGGCAGTTCTTCAGCAAGATGATGGGAATGGTCTACAGCCTATAGAGTTCATGAGCAAGAAGATCAAGACACAAAAGCTTCATGACTCTACCTACGAGAAAAAGTTATATGCTCTTGTCTGTGCACTAAAGCATTGAAAGCACTTTCTCCCAAGAAGGCACTTCAAGATCTTTTCTGATCATTCCACACTGCAGTGGTATTTACAAATATCTGGTTATGCCATTTGGACTTCGCAATGCCCTAGGTATCTTCCAGACTGAGATGCACCGCATCTTCAGACCTTATCTGGACAAGTTTATGGTTGTCTACCTAGATGATATTCTGGTATTCAGCCGAACTGCCAGGGAGCATACGGAGCATCTGGCTTTGGTTCTTCAGTCGTTACGTGACAGCCAGTATAAGATCAACAGAGAGAAGTCCTCTTTTGGAGTTTCCTCTGTCATCTATCTGGGACATGTAATCTCTGGAGATGGGTTGGCCCCTGAAGCAGCCAAAATTGCTGCTATTCAGGAGTGGCCCAGCCACAGATAGTGAGGGATGCCAGGTCCTTCATGGGTTTGGCTTCGTACTACAGGAAGTTTGTCCGCAACTTTTCTACGGTGGCCTCGCCCCTGACTAACCTAACAAAGAAAAACACTCCTTTTCTTTCGTCCCTCCCCTGCCAGTTGGCCTTCACACGACTCAAGAAGGCCTTGACTCGTGCGCCAGTGCTGAAGTTGCCTGACCCCACTTTGCCATTTATCCTGACTATTGATGCCAGTGAGTATGGCATTGGGGCAGTTCTTCAGCAAGATGATGGGAATGGTCTACGGCCTATAGAGTTCATGAGCAAGAAGATCAAGACACTGAAGCTTCAAGACTCTACCTACGAGAAAGAGTTGTATGTTCTTGTCTGTGCACTAAAGCATTGGAAGCACTTTCTCCCGGGAAGGCACTTCAAGATCTTTTCTGATCATTCCACGTTGCAGTGGATGAAGTCCCAGGGAGAGTTAAACGATAAACTAGCACGGTACCTTCAGTTCATTGACATGTTTGACTTTGAACTGAAACATAAGAAGGGGTGCTATAACAAAGTAGCAGACGCCCTCTCTCGTCGGCCTGACGCTTTTGCGCTGATCTCCTCTACTCACTCCTTTGGAGAGGAGACCCGTCAGACCATTGCCCGTATATTGCCCCAGGACCCGACTTATGGACCCATAGTTAGGAATCTGCAAGCAGATCCCAACTCTGAACCAGGTTATGCCCTGAGTTCAGACTTGTTGTACACTTACAGCAGGGGTGAGGAGCGTTTGTGCATTCCCCAGGACCAGCGACTGAGGACTCCGCTGATGTCAGAGTGCCATGATGCACGCGGCCATTTTGGGTTCCTAAAGTCATATGCAGCCCTGTCGCAACTCTTCTTCAGGAAGGAGATGCGGAGTGATCTGCTGCACTATATTGAAACCTGTGAGCTCTGCTAGAGAAATAAGGTCCAACGTAGACCTCCTCTGGGACTGCTCAAACCCTTGCCCATACCTGATGG